ACGTAGGTGGTCAGAGTAATGTTTTACCAAATCCGGCTTCGAAACACGAGGATCCATATATATTTCATTAGCCCAATAAAGCACAGGGACTTCTACATACAATCAACACCTCAACCCGCCAGGATTCGAACCCACGGCCCATGAGCCCATGACTGTGACCGGATTTGGTAAAACGTTACTACATTTTTTATATCTTGAGCAAAATATATGACATTTATATTCAAATTAATCTCTGTCTTGCAAGGATTTCAGCAATGCAATTTATATTATCATAACTTTAGTTTGAGATATTATATAAAATAAACATAAAGAAATCACCAATCTTTTATCTTGAACACGAGGGTGGTGGGAAGAGGGGGGGGAGGGGGCGGGAGGTGAGGTGACAGAATGTCTGGTGTTTGTTTGTTTGTTTATTTATTTGAGATAAGATTTGACAGTTGGTGCTGAAGGCCTGCCTGCATGTTTATTTATCATTACTTAGTTAGTTTTTAGTTTAACAAATGTATTGGCAGAGCTTGTAGTACAGTTTGCCTATTCTGAGTAATTCAGTCAGGTCTTGACACTGAGGGTGGTATCACTTCTCACTGTCACGCAGGACAGAGGTTCACACACAACGAAATACATCATATTCATTAACAACTATAAATGTATATAGGTCAGATTCATATGGGTAATGTCACTGTTCACTGCCATGCAGGACAGAGGTTTGTACACAAAGAGTTGCATCATATTCATTGACAGTACATATACATATATGTAAACACATATACATATACGTATGTACATACACATATACACGTACATGCACATATACATGCACACACGCACACATACATACATACATATACGTCGGTCAGATTCATGTGGGTAATGTCACTTTCCACTGCCATACAGGACAGAGGTTCGTACACAAAGAATGCATCATATTCATTGACACTATATATAGGTCAGATTCATGTGGGCAATGCCACTGTTCACTGCCATGCAGGACAGAGGTTCGTACACAAAGAAGGAAATACATCACATTCACCAGCAGTATATATAGGTCAGTGGATCACATACATTGGAGTCATATTCTAATTGAAGACTAATCAGTGTGGACTAGCAAATTTGGGATAAACAGCAAGAATGTCCTCAAGCACACCTGATTCAATGAAGTAATTACATAGTTCAAGATATAATAAGTCAGGTGGCCTGAAGTCTTTGACAGTGTCACATTCAATAATATAGTGTTCAAGTGTATGCTTTAAAGGTTTATCACAAAGTTTACATGCTGAGTGTTCTGGTATGGGTACAGCGTTACTAACTTGCCAGATGTGTCTGTATCCTAACCTAATTCTGGCCACGACTACATCACATTGTCATTACTTAAGAGTGACTAAGCTCTTCTCATAATTTTCCACCCAAACGTCCTGGGTGAATATAACTTACATTGGAGGGATTCTTGTAAGATAGTAATTTATTTTATTTTATTTTTTCAATTTAAATTTTAATTGTTTATTCCTTGATAGAGGAAGCGGGATCCTAGTGCTGTCACTTGGTACCCCTGTACCATAATACCAGAAGCAACTGGCCAGTGTCACAAGTATATACAGTCATCCCTTGGTTATCGCGCCTAATTGGGACCCCGCCGATAACGAAAGTACAGAACCTATGGGATTTATTCTAATTGGTTCAATCACCCATTTTATGACCATTTAGACCCACTAAATATATACATATAATGTTATGGTAAATATCATAAACACACATAGGCATGGCTAGGTTTATTACAAAGTGATGAAAAGGGTACGCTTAATACTGTAGTCCACAAAACATGTAGCTATGCTTTTTTTATTTGGTCCCCCGTCATACGAGTCCGTTTTCTCACACCAGGATGCCTGAGTCCTCCGTTTTCTCTCTTAATCTTACAGTGCACCAGAAACTTTACTATTTTTAGTAATGCCACAGAATTTGAAATTGCAACCCCAATTGCAACTTGCAATTGTTGAGGCAACTAGATATGTCTGATTACAGCAAATGTTTTATTGTCAATTTGTAGGTGAAAGATTTTATCCTCAATAGATGTAGGTTAACATTACACTTGGAGGCAAATGTTTAAAAATAGCCTAAGATAGGAAGCATATTCCTTTAACACATAATATCTGACCAGTATGGGGAGGATCATTGTGTCTCCGTCAGGGGTAGGTGAGTGGTGGTCAGCAGGCGTCCGTGTTTTTCTTTTTGAGGCGCGGACAGTATATCGTCGAGACGTTAACTAGCATATATATATATATATATATATATATATATATATATATATATATATATATATATATATATATATATATATATATATATATATATATATATATATATATATATATATATATATATATATATATATATATATATATATATATATATATATATATATATATATATATATATATATATATATATATTCAGAAGGATTACTTGAAACCATTGTTTCAATGGGTTTTGGAGTGTGGTTCCAGCTCTCCATTTCTACTTCAACAAAATGGTGAAAAAATTTACTTACTTTGGTGTGTGTGTAGAAGACTCCTGGATGATGATGATGGTGTGCATTTGAAGTGGGAGGTGGAGGAGGAGAGGGAGAAGAAAGAAGTGGAGTGGAGGAGAAGCATTTTGCTGCTTCTTGGAAGGTGGTCACCTTCATGAAAATGTCAGGAACCTCTGGACTGACAGATTCTCCACCATGAACATCCTCTCCTTCTTGAAGTGTAAGGCTGAGACTAGCATCATCCTCTCTCCTTCTTGAAGTGGAAGCTGAGGGCTAGCATCTTGTTCCTCTGCCTTTTACTGAAGAGAAGTGTAAAATTGATGGTCTGTGGGAGCTGTTCTCCCTCACCATTACCTTATGTTTAAAGAGACCACTGAGTCCTCAACATGACACAAAGATTAGTTCAGTTTTTTCCTTCTGGGTGCTTTAAGCCAAGTTTCCTGAACTTCTCTCAGTAGTAAATCACATCTTTCAACTGTTTAGCTGACATATGGTCATCACTTCAATTTCCTCCTCACCACTGTCAGCCTCTACCCGTAACATCTCTCCAGTTGCTTCAAGTCATCAGGAAGTAAGTTCCTCCTCATGAGACATCACAGCTCTTAACATAATACATGCTTCTA